AACATTAAGGGTCAATAAGAGAGGAAGGAAAAAAAATCTGTCAAAGATTGATGAATTTTGGGGAAGTGGGAAGAAAAAGTTCGATACGTCAGGGGAAATACGGAGGTTGAACAAGACAAAGAATAGCGTATCAAATAAAACATCAACAAAAAATCATCAAGCTATACGAGGTAGTCAAAATGATGCTGAGAAATCGTGTCTTCAAATGAAAAGCGATCCGATTGCCGTAAAAACCTCTACCACCGATAGTACTGGTAATTCCAACATAACCGACAAATTACTACGGATCCCAGGTGTCATAGAACTCATTGACAATGATGTCGCTGATGGATCTGATGATTGTGCGGGTGGGTTTAAAGCACCTTCGCCAACCGTGAAAAGGTATACCGATTTACCAAAAGTTGATTTCCTTTCGGACGATGATACACCGGAACTCAAAGCCGAAGGTAATTATTTATGCGCACTTATCGTTTACTTGACGCTTTCTTTGTTCATGAGGCTGAGAAATGATTTTCAGGTACAACCGAGCGAAAGTCCTGTCCATACTGCGGTGAGACACTCCCAGTACCACTTCCACCAAGAATAAGAGCTTACTTATTAAATGTCGACTCTTCATCAAACCAGACACCATCACCATCAGTGCTCTTAAATCGCTCAACAAGCGTTGTGGAGCAATTTGAATTTTGTCGTCTACACGATGCGGAGTCTAATATTGTGCCAGGTGGATTGCGAAAAAGTTATCCTTTGACTATAAATTTTGATGAAATTCCCACACGCGTTCAAAATATGCTTCCCGAGTTAGAAGATGTCGCGACCGGGAGAAAGACGAGTTTGTTCAGAGACGTGGCAATGGAAGCATACAACACACTAGGCAAAGCTAAGGCGAGAAAACCAACTGTATTGATGGGAAGGTTTCAAAAATTTCAGGTACATATTACCTTTCCTATTGGTTTCTTATGCATAACTTTTAAGAAATTTATTGGATTTCTTTTAGCCTGGCTACTATGGTCCTAAGGGTGCGTCAGTTATACTCTCTACTCTCATGTCTCTTTTCATTGATTCAAATATTTTAACAACGGAAATGACCAAGCCGCAAGAACCTTTGGAATATCTCAGCCAGGTGCTTGTCCCTGAGGCAGCGATAAGATTAATATCTCAAGATCGCGGGGGTATAACGTTTGAAGAAGCAACGAAGGTGATGGAAGACAGCATGGAATTTGGAATGTACATACACGATGTGGAACGAGAAGAGGGAGATTATTACGAATGATCATGATGTCGCGAATCAATATCACGATAATTATCGCGGAATTTTTATATATCAACTGCACACAAAATACTCAAATCCGGAATTAATTGCAATGCGATTTTAACTATGGGCTGACAAAAACGACTCGATTTCGGGAAATTTGATGTTAAATTACAGGGACATAAAAATATTTCTGTCACAAAAATCATCTACAAAGATGTTCATGTCTTCGAAAGAAAGATTTATTTGCATTCTACGAATCATCCATTTTGCATTATGATAATCAGATAAAACAATGAATTTACAAATGCACAATTTCTCTTTTGAGACTGCTAAGGATTCTAAATTGAATTTTTTTACAACACGATTTAATGTCGTTAATTTTAAACATGTTTATGACGTCGAGACCCAATGCTTTTCTTTCCCTCACAAACAAAATTCTATCGTAATTGAATAAGTGTGATTTTATAATCCGAAGTTTATTTTAACGTACTTGTAAAACGTGTTCTATTCAATAAAAAATTCCGGTAAATTTGTAAGCTTATTACAGCTATTTCAATATTTCAACGAGATATAGTTATACACACAGCAGCCTTCAAAAACAATGCAAACCACTATGTGTACAAATAACGATTATATGATTCTTAATATAAAATAATTTTATCTATTAATTCAATTACAGTAATAATGTCGGATGTTTCCATTTCAACTTAAAAAATTTTTATAGACTAACTATATTCCTCCCGAGTTTCTGCAGAAAGGGAAAGCTGTCTTTCTAATTGCTTAGTTAAGCCCGTAGATTGATTTTTAGTGAGGCTTTGGCTTTCGGTTTGAGACTTCATTTTTTGTAACCTTAAATACTGTAAATCAGAGTCTCCTTCGTCAGGGGATTTCGTATAGGGAATGAACTCGCTTTGACAAACTATCTCGGGTGTATTATCCGTGTGTTTGTTTTTTAATACTTTATCAGATTCAGTTAATTCCGATAGAATTTTTTTCTGCAGATGGACGATTTTCTGGATTTCTATTCCAACAACTTCCCATGAGATCTATATAACATTGTGGTGTACCCTCGACTATTGGAGGCCGTAAGTCATTAAACACTACTTGAATTTTGAAATCTCCCGTGGACTCGTTATCGAAAGGCACAGCTCTTCCTGATGAAATTTCCCACATAATTATGCCGAATGAGTAAATATCAGATTTTAGAGTATATGCATTACCACATAAAACTTCTGGTGCCACATATGGCAAAATTCCGCAAATCCCACCAGATCCTGCTACGGAAGCTGATATCGAAAGGCCCAAATCGGCAATGTATGCACTATATGAGCTATTTAACAGTATATTACCACTGTGTAAATCTCTGTGAATAAGATTTTGTGAATGAATTATTCCAAGATCAGAAGCAATACAAAGCAATAAAATTAGTTTCATTTTCCACTCCATTTGTGCTATAAAATAAAGATTTTTGCGCATGGAACCCATTGGTGCAAGTTCTAAAACAAGAATATAATCCTTGGATACTTCATCCCTTGATATTCCATAGCATCTTAAAAATGTGGGATTTTTAAGTCCAATATCACAATATGCCTTTAACTTTAATGAGAAAAGATATAATAAATAAAAACGTGGTGTATTACCAAAGATAACCAACGAAAATATAAAATTCACCTCTTTTATAAATTCCTTGCGGTAACTTTTTGATCCATGAAGTAATTTAAGTGCAACCCCTCTAGTATCCCACCTCGCATTATACACCGTTGCGAATCCACCTTGTCCTATTCTTTCGGCAATTTCGAGTTCCTTATAAGGAATCCATGATAATAAATATTTGTTTTCAGCAAATATTTCCTTTAAATCGTCGTCAACGTCAACATCAGAATTTCCGCGCATCCATTCATTATTTACTAAGAAATCGTGCTTTAGCTATTATGCTGTTTTAGAACTTATTGATAATCAATCAAATAGAACATTACCTAATAGTTGATTTCTTTCCCTAATCATTGATAATATTATTTTAAAAATTAATTTGTTGAAGTTAATTAAAATAAATCACTTACATTTGATACCAATACGTGGCCATTTTTAGACTTCTTTCAACTATAATTCCGCTTCGATAAAATCCGCCAAGTCTATACATTCCAGTTGCACTTCCCATATCAGCTGATTTTTGATAATATTCAAATGCCTTATATTCATCTTTTTCAACCCCGATTCCCATCTCATAACACCAGCCAATATTATACGTCCCGTTTACATTACCCATCTCTGCAGATTTTTGATAATATTCGAATGCCTTATAATCATCCTTTTCAACTCCTATTCCTTCATCGTAACACCATCCAACATTATATATTCCCTTCGCATATCCCATATCAGCTGATTTTTTATAATGTTCGAATGCTTTGTGTTCATCCTTTTCAATTCCAATTCCTTTTTCATAACAATAACCAACACTATAATCACTCTCGCGAACTCCCACCTACCTCGGCTGCCTTTTGATAATATTCGAATGCTTTATGTTCATCCTTTTTAACTCCATTTCCTTTCTCATAACAATAGCCAACATTATGCATCCCATTTACATTACCCATCTCAGCTGATTTTTGATAATATTCGAATGCTTTATATTCATCTTTTTCGACTCCAATTCCATTATTATAACAACAACCAACATTATATATTCCATCTGCATCACTCATCTCGGCTGATTTTTGATAATATTCAAATGCTTTATATTCATCCTTTTCAACTCCAATTCCTTCATCATAACACAAACCAACATTATATATCCCTTTCATACATCCCATATCAATCGATTTTTGATAACACTCGAATGCCTTATGGTTGTCTTTTTCAACTCCGATTCCATGATTATAGCAATGCCCGAGATTATTCGTTCCTATCGCATGTCCTATTTTAGCTGACTTTTGATAATATTCGAATGCCTTGTGTTCATCCTTTTCAATTCCAATTCCTTTCTCATAACAATAACCAACTTGACACACTCCACCAGAATTACCCATTTTAGCTGATTTTTGATAATATTCAAATGCCTTATGTTCGTCCTTTTCAACTCCAACTCCATTTCGATAACAATAGCCAACATTAAATGTTCCTAGTGAATGACCCATATTAGCTGATTTTTGATAATATTTGAATGCTTTATGTTCATCTATTTTGACTCCAATGCCTTCATCATAACATAAACCAACATTATGTATTCCATCCACACATCCCATCTCAGCCGATTTTTGATAATATTCAAATGCTTTATATTCATCCTTTTCAACTCCAATTCCTTCATCATAACACAAACCAACGTTATATATCCCTTTCATACATCCCATATCAATCGATTTTTGATAACACTCGAATGCCTTATGGTTGTCTTTTTCAACTCCGATTCCATGATTATAGCAATGCCCGAGATTATTCGTTCCTATCGCATGTCCTATTTTAGCTGACTTTTGATAATATTCGAATGCCTTGTGTTCATCCTTTTCAATTCCAATTCCTTTCTCATAACAATAACCAACTTGACACACTCCACCAGAATTACCCATTTTAGCTGATTTTTGATAATATTCAAATGCCTTATGTTCGTCCTTTTCAACTCCAACTCCATTTCGATAACAATAGCCAACATTAAATGTTCCTAGTGAATGACCCATATTAGCTGATTTTTGATAATATTTGAATGCTTTATGTTCATCTATTTTGACTCCAATGCCTTCATCATAACATAAACCAACATTATGTATTCCATCCACACATCCCATCTCAGCCGATTTTTGATAATATTCGAACGCTTTGTGTTTATCCTTTTTAACCCCAATTCCTTCCTCATAATAGTAACCAACATTATATGTTCCTTCTACATGACCCATCTCAGCTGATTTTTGATAATATTCGAATGCCTTATGTTCATCCTTTTTAATTCCGGTTCCCTTCTCATAACAACAGCCGACATTATAAGTCCCATTTACATCACCCAGCTCAGATGACCTTAGATAATATTCGAATGCTTTATATTCATCCTTTTCAACTCCAATTCCTTCATAATAACACCAACCAACATTATATAGTCCATTCACCCATCCCATCTCGGCTGATTTTTTATAATGTTCGAATGCCTTGTACTCATCTTTTTCAACTCCAATTCCTTTCTCATAGCAATAACCAACATTATATTCACCCTCGCAAATTCCCATACCAGCTGACTTTTGGTAATATTCGAATGCTTTTTGTTTGTCCTTTTTAATTCCAATTCCTTTTTCATAACAATGACTTACATTAAATACTCCTTTAGCATAACCCATTTCAGCTGACTTATGATAATACTCGAACGCCTTTTTCATATCCCTTTTAACCCCGATTCCTCTCTCATAACAACATCCTACACTAAATATTCCTTTTGCATAATCCATCTCAGCTGATTTCTGGTAATACTTAAATGCCTTATGTTCATCCTTTTTAACCCCAATTCCTTTCTTATAACAATAACCTATATTAAAAATTCCCTTCGCGTGACCCATCTCTGCCGATTTTTGATAATATTCGAATGCCTTATGTTCGTCCTTTTTAACACCAATTCCTTGGCGATAGTAAATTCCAACATTAAATGCACCATTCGCATCACCCATCTCAGCTGATTTTTGATAATACTCGAATGCCTTACGTTCATCTTTTTTAACCCCAATTCCCTTTTCATAACAATCGCCAACATTATACGTCCCACTTACATTACCCACTTCAGCTGATTTTCGATAACATTCGAATGCCTTATGTTCATCCTTTTCAACTCCAATTCCATAGCGATAGTGATTTCCTAGAATTGCCGCTTCGCTCATCTTAGTTAATTTTTTAATGCCTTATATTCGTCTTTTTCAATCTACAAATATATGTGCGTAGATCTTGAACCTATTAGATTTTATGTTTATTACACAATATAATGTTGATCATTTTTAAGAATTATTAACACCACGTTTTTTTTCCTAGGCATAGAAATCAATAACTTTCTTGAGAATAGTCTTTATTATTTTTTAGGTACAATTTTATACTTTTGAAAAAAATGTAGATTTAAATAGCTTAAATATTTGTTGATAATTTCTATTTTAAATTAGCAAGCGCATATAATTTCATTCGGTTTTTAGTTATTTAAATATTATTTACTAAGAATTTAAACTATTTTATTCGGCTATTAAACTGGATCACAATAAATTTTAGAATTGTTTAAAGTTTAATTTTTTGTAGTTAAAAAAGAAAACTTTGGATAGTTTTTATTTAATGAACCTTCTTTGGGCAGTGATTTTTTATCCACCTGCAGTAGAGAGGTGACTTATACTGAACCCCAGGTTCTTATGTGATCTAGTAAGGACTAGGTCATGTTGTTTCAGTGCGATATCTTCCAGCAGCCATGCCTAGTTAAAGAAATTTTACTGGTATACATCTTTCATTACTCAAAAAACCAGATTCCCCAATAATTCTTTTGCCTTGTAATAGTGGGAAGATAACAGTAGTGGTCGGAATCCTCGTTGATTGCGATATTAAAAAAATTATTATATAAAATATATATATATATATGACCTGTGGGTCAATAGTGCAATGGGTGTGCTCCCAGGTCACCATTTGCAAGTTACTGGTTCAATTCCACTTCAGAACAGTATTTGCACTATAGGTTACGATGTACAAGAATGCATGCTCATCAGCCATATGCAGGCTTGAACATGAAACAACCTATAGAAATCTACCGTTCAACCACAGTGTCATAAAAACAGGTCATACAGGTCCCAGTCAGTTTTAGCACTGGGAAACAAGTCATGACATCCCACTACTTAGAATATGCATAGACACCAAGAATGTCAAGAAAGATAATGATAAGACTCAAGTTCCTATTGGCCTCATATGAAATCTATCTCTTCTCAAAAACTCCTGTCTCATGAAAGGTCTGGAAGACTTTGGTCATACGAATCAGCCGCAAAATGTAAAGAGCCAGACACATACTGGAAGATCTTTGATTGTTATCACAAATAGTTACCAGAGATTGGACCTCATGGGTGGCTAACGAGGAGTGATAAAGTTAAATAGTCACGATGAAAAAATGCAGGGGTAGACCCTGGGAGAAGAAATTCAGAAACAATTACCAAGATAACCATTCCATTGGGAGAAGCAATCTATTACGAAGTAACCAAGAGAAACTCCTGCAGATATATTTGAAGAGTGATTAAAAATGGTTACTGGAAGACTACAGTTATCAATCTAGCTCACCAATGGCCGCTGGGAAACTTGATGGGACCACATGAAAACTGAAGAATATCACTGGATGACTAACCTTCTGAGGACTAAATACAGTTAAAGATGTCAATTATAGAATACACCCCCTACAAGGTATACAAGGCCCCAAGAATCGAACAATTTCAACAGCTCCTTGAATATAAATAAAAGTCTCCTAGTGGATCCTTGTAACATCAGGAGTGCCCAGGCATAGTAGGGCAGCTGACAAAATAGTATCCATATCAGGTAAAATCTAAGGGTATTTGAATAGCTTAGGATAGTATAGATTAGCTATAAGAATTGCTCTTATAAAAATAACTCTGTACGACTCCTTCATAACCATTTAATAAAAGCCCAGTCAGTATGACTAATTTAAAAAAAAAATAAAAATAAAAAAATAAAATAAAATAAAAAATATATATACTGTATATATTTTAATCTATCATCAGGCTAATATGGTTTATCTTTATTGTGTATTTAAAATATTATACAATTTCAAAGATTTTCATATGACAGCTCACCTGTTTTAGAAGTTTAACTTCTCTAGATACAACTTAGGAGATGATATTTTACTTTCTTAATAACTTGGATTATTCTTTAGCTATCAAGTTCATTACTTATAGATTATCACTGTAAATTATCCAAAATTCTAAATGGTAGATCAAATACCTAACCACATTTTTCTTTAACTATCCATCTTTCAATAATCTT